TTATTGAGGTATGATCAATAGATGTTATCGACCATCAATCTACAGAAAGGTTATATTAATGTAAAATATTTTTGAATTCGATGATTTATCAACTGTTTTTTTTGGTATTTGTATATGTTACATTTTCCCCACATGTTTCGATGGTATGGGGCAATTGCAATATACAATCTTCCAGAGCTAACAGAAAATAGAAGAGAGTCTGGATTGACATTTAATGATAAATTTGACGGGCTGAATATTTGTTAATAACTCGATTTCAGATTTTTACCTGTTATGTTGGAGTTTTTTATTATGTTTCATAGTTCTTTTGTGCCTTAAACAGAGGTTTATTTCTTTTGTTTTTTCATTATTATGTAGCTCTGTTATTTTTCGAAATAAATATATAAATAGCATATCAAATTTTAGAGGATCAAAATACTTTCTTACAATTGCCCCATATGTTCTTCTACGTAATTTGTAACATATTGTCAACATTTAAAAAAAAATGTAAAATTATTTTCTTTTTTTTTTTTTTTTCAAAAACACTTTTCAATACCTGGATTATATAGTTTAGGAAGTGGTGAATTTAATGTGGTATCAACCATTCTGATGAAAGGAAGAATAAAGCCACATTTCAGGATTCAATTCGAACTATTCAAGTTTTGATTGTCCCAGTTTCCCTTATGCAGAAAAAAAAATCTCCTGTTTTTTTGTAATGTCGAATACAAGTGATAGCAACCAAAAGTAATATTCGGTGGTTCCAATTCTCGACATTTGAAGAAGAAAATTCATGTTTCATTCGGAGTTGAAGTACTTACTTTTCGTAGCTCTTTTGTAACTTACTTCATTCACGCCTTGAAAATTATACTTCAACTCCATATAAATTAATATACTAATCTATAGTTTAAAGCACCGATAAAATTCAATTAGGAATTTTTTTTACAACATATGCAAATCATATCTCAAATTAGTTCTATTCATGTTAGATTAATTCGTTCAGAGGGATATCATAGGACGGATTTTGTGCTGAAATTCCTATTTTCACTCGTCTGAATGATAAGAAGCATCTATCATAAATGTTTTAAGGCGCATTCATGCATGACATAACTTAATTAAATCCTAGAGTTTCATCATGCAATTAACTCAATCATTCATGACTGAGCTGCGAATTCGAAAAATCGATTTCTTAGTCTTAGGATTGAGTTGAGTCAAGTATTCTTAATCAAGCAATTCAGGGTTAGATATCTACAGAAATTGTTACAACAAATCCGAAATTCTAGTTACGTTTTCGGAAATGTGATTTGGAAGATCAAAATCATCAATAAAGCTTAACTTTTTTGTAATACAATATGCAAATCGAATATTTCAATGTTGTCAAGATAAAGAGTTGTATTTCAAAATAACTGGTAAGATCCTCGAAATTTGTACAACAGATAACATTCACTAGAGACACAAACATAACAATATTATTTCTGAGGCAACTACTAGGTATTTCGTGATAGTGCTGCCAATAATGCTAAGATTTGACAAAATAAAAAGATCATAGAGATTGTAGATTGTAGATGGGTCGTATAGGCTGGGACACCTCTCGATCACTGCGACCTAGAAGATCTATTGTGATTACCCCTATCTAGTTTTGGTCCTCTAACCCTAGACTTCTGATGAAGCCTACGATCTATGACAGCATATGGGTCAGTAGTTTGGTGGCCAAAGACACAACAGGCTGGAGTGATTCGAAGGCTCAGTGCTATTCAAAGGCAAGCGTGCCTGAGTGCCACTGGTGCAATGAAAACCACTCCAACAGCCGCTTTAGAGGTCCTCTTGAAGCTACCACCACTACAAATATATATTCAAGGCGAAGCCAGAGCAGTCGTGAGTAGATTGTCAAGGGGTCAAGCACCCATAAGCAACGCGCACGGTAAAGACTATAGGAAGCTATATGATATGAAGAGTTGGAAAGCGACTCCATCAAGGGGATGCCAACGGATGGCATAATTCCAAAATATAGCTTTGAAAAAACTTTTGAAATAAGTATAACGGACAGAGAGGCATGGAAGGAAGGACCTCCTATCAATGCAGACATTGCTGTCTATACGGACGGCTCCAAAACAGAGGAAGGATCAGGAGCTGGTATTTATGGGGCCAAGCCAAAGACAAGAATCTCACTGAGCTTAGGCAAATACGCGACGGTGTTTCAGGCAGAAATTATTGCAATACATCATTGCGTGAAAGAATTGATAAGGCAAGAGTTTAAAGGCAAAACCATTGCAATCTATTCAGATAGCCAGGCGGCAATCAAAGCAGTCAACTCTATGCAAGTTAACTCAAAACTAGTATGGGACTGCTTAGAAACCCTAAATGCACTGGGCAGTCAGAACAGATTGACTCTAGCATGGGTACCAGCAGGGTACGAGGGCAATGAAGAGGCAGACTCACTTGCCCGAGCAGGAGCAAACAAAGCTCTTAATGGCCCAGAACCCTTCTGTGGTATTGCGAAAGCTATACAAAAGACTAGTATCAAATCATGGATGCAAACTAAATCTCAAGAATGGTGGAACAACTCGCCAGGAATGAGACAGGCAAAAGAGTTTATTAAAAAACCATCGCCAACATTCACAGAATATCTACTAAGCCAGAAACGAAGTTCAACTAGAATACTAGTGGGACTTCTCACAGGGCATTGTAGGCTCAACAAACACATGAGTACGATAGGTCTGACTGAAGAACTGCTGTGCAGATTCTGTCAAGAAGAGGGAGAAACAGCAGTACACATACTTTGCCACTGTGAGGGCTTGTGGCTGGGTGAGGGAAAACCAGGAGCCCAGAGATACACAGGAGATCTGAAAGCTAGCCTATGGAGTCTCATAGAGAAGGCGGGGCTAGCCGAAGAACTCTAATCCATTTTGAGGGCAGGCACAATAGATCTGAAGAGGTCGCAGTGTGGAGGCAGATAGCCCGAAGGCCCCATCCCAAATCTAATCTAAGCCTACGATTTTCCTGACGGTTGAATTTTCCACTTCAGCAGGGGTGAGATAGACCTGTTCTAGGTGGTTCAGCCTTTGGCGGACTAATACTTCACATGAGCAAAGTATGTGTTCCGCGGTTTCAGTCGCATTGTTACAAAAGCGGCAAGTGTCAGTCTCCGCCAGGCCCATCTTTTTGAGGTGGTACCTCAGAGGGCCGTGTCCTGTGAGAAAGCCTGTGATAAGCTTTAGCTCTGATTTGTTGAGGCTGAGTAGCTCTTTGGCTCGGTTCTGCGAATGGTTGATGAAGATCATATCTTTTTCAACTCTCAAAGCAAACACCTTGAGAGAAAAATATGATCTACTATTTCAAGAGACGTCTGCCATATTGGGTTCTGGACGACGTCACGTGACTCGTATTCTACTCATCAAATCCTAGTATTTGATATCAATGTCATTGTGGTTGACAAAATGGTAATCCGAATTCACGATGCGTCCGCCACTTGGTCCACCATATTGGATCAAGAATGACGTCAAATTCGTATCCTATTCATTGAACCCTTTCATTCGAACTTTAAAGAAATCTTCTTTCGTGCGCTCCAAGAGATAATAAAAAATTAAATATGCCATGAATTGGAGAAAATAATATACAGGGTGAGTCATAACATAGGCCACAATAAAATATTGCTGTGGAGAAGAATATAGGGCCTAAAAGTTTGTTTTTTTCGTTTCTTGCTAATAATTTCACTGTACATTCATCAATTATTTTCAAAATCGGCACAGAGGGAACCTTTTCTACAGGGAATATGATTTCTGATGATGAAATCGAATTAAAACTTTTTTTTGACGAAACATTTTTCTGATTTTGATTAGAATATGACATAAACATCATTTCTATGTAATATTTGTACTCTAGTTCAAACACGATAATTATATTTTCTTCCGTTTTCGAGAAAAAAGCAATTGAACAGTTCCAAGTCTTGGAAGCTTTGGACTGTCAGATAATTGATGCTGGTAAAAATGACATTTCTTGCCAGTGAATAAATTTTGGTGGAAGTTTAGTCAATACTTTTTCGAGTAAAACTCCCTATATTTTTTCCACAGTAATAATTCACCAAGACATATTTGGTCCTATTACCATATGTTGGCCAAACAATCCGTCCTTAGCCTATATATGTCCCAATAGTTATGACTCACCTGTGTATGCTCATCTCTTTATTACATCGGTTCTTACATTATGTATGTCAACAAAATCAATGTAACTCATCTAGTATGTTCTATTCGATACCCCAAAGGTATATATTGGCCAGACGGGTAGAACGTTTAACCACCGCATTCACGAACATCATACTAGCACTGAAAAATTCACGGCTTTTGAATTAGTTTCATTAAGTGCTTTCTGCATCACTTCTTTCAAATTTATATGTTACACCGAATTTTAACGTAGATTTTGAACAGACTTCCTTAAATGATGGAATAGTAGCTATCCAGCCCACAGGTGATTTTAATACTTTAGGTTCCTGCAAGTCAATGTTCATTTATTGTATGAGTATTTTACTTGAAAAAGCTGCTGTGTTAGTGAAACATGCCGATTTTTCAGGAATTTCATAGAAATCTTGTCGTTTGTGTAGTTTTTACATTCATAATAAAAAGTATGTTATTCTTAGGATCCATACCATATTCGTGAACGGAAATGCTAAATCAATTTCTCATCATTCTCTATGAAGAATAACACTGATAATCAAAAACAGTGAGTGTTTTTATTTTCATTTCTTCATCTATAGCGTATTTTGGCAGCATCATTTTCAAAGACCCAGCACTTTACAGACAAAAAACAATATCAAAACTATGAATAAGATGCACTCAGAAACAACTTCAAATAGTCCACTAACAGGAAAACGTTCAGTTACATATTTTCTTAAAGCACCAAAAATAAAGCATCCTTTGAAATAACTGGTAAACAAGGTCCTGCAATATACACAAATCGAACTAGATTGGTCTCATTTATAAACTATTCGAAAATAACAACAAAAACATTAGTGTATTTCCTGGACTTCCGTCCTAGTCCATGTTTTTTCGATACTAACCTACCTTTGAGCTTTTTTCAACACTCCATCGACCCTCTAGGAAGCAACAATGATTATTTCCTCGGACCGTGGTGGTCCAACTTTATCAATAAATAAATAAAAATCAATTTGAGAGCGGTAACAACAAAATACATTCTCTTGCTCGTCCGTACCGAGAATCATTTTTTGGGAACCTCCTTGTCGATCTTCGGAGGTTCTTTAGTCACAGAAGATTCTTTGACGTCTTTTGGTGCTGCTGTTGGTTCTTTCAGTATCGTGGTACCTTTTAGCGTCGGCGTGCTTTTGAGTATTCCCGAAAGGAAGGTCGTTACTTTTGGTATACCTATAATGCCTCTCGGCACCTCTGTGATTTCGAAACTAGGTTGGGTTGTTGTCTCAGGTACTACTTCTATGATGGGCGTCTTTTGTGAAACAGGTCTCGGAGGTATTTTCAGTTTCAAAGGATTCCTGAGCTTTTTCAAGGCGTATTGAATCCGAACGGCCTCTTGTTTCATCATGTTGTACTGGTTCAGATCGACACCGAGTTTTTGCGCTTTTTTGTGTATGATCAGGAGGTGTTGACGGTCTCTGACATCTTGAAGAACGTATTCCTGCAGAAGGAGAGTTTGGATTCAGTGACGTTTTTCCTTTGAATGTACCGGGTGAACAACTAAGCACGGCTGTCATCAATCCTTTTTCCAACTTTGATCGTCAATATCTTCCGTTAGCGAAGAGCTATCATGTTGCAGTTTTCGTTGGTCTGTTGAGATTTAGTTACTCTATTCTATCGTGTTATAATATACATACATTACATTTATAATTCACGATATTTATTGATACTCCAGATCACGCCGAAAGCCGTTCTTAGTTGTTCACCTGGTATTGCTGAATATGAACGAAATATAGCTAGTGTAGCAAATCAATTCAAGAAAATTATTCTACATTCAAAAGCAATAATCAGAATTGTGGTCGATAGCGCGAAAGCGCTGAGTTCGTATGGGAACTACCACCGAGGCATGGGTTCGAATCCCTTAGCTTCATTGCCAACATCAGTCAGGATGAGTTTGAATTTATAATAATTTTGGACATGATGGAATTAGGAAATCTAATGACCTGTCAAACTATGCACTAGTTGGCACAGAAAGAAATAATTTATGTGTGATAAATCGTTCTTTTCGGCAACCGACACAAAAGTCGTCCATTTTAATACCAAAATTAGCTCTTGAATTGACATTTCTATTACTGACACAAAAATAGGTATGTTGCTAGGCAACATATTTAGTTCCTAGGAGCTGAAGTTGAACTTCAGCTCCTAGGAACTCAAAAGGATTCACTAAACATCATCAAGAATAAACAATATTGTTACGGTTGGTTATTTGGGTTGGGACGCATACCTGTTTTGTTTCCGATTTCGGCAGATTTGGCATTTCATACCCATGCCGGAGATAAATACACCTTATCATAGTTGAGTATAGGAATTATACACATCTCAGCTAAGTATTTTTATTTTGATCAAGGAAGCCTTCAAGATTCACATACTTGCTTGATCTGTATTTCATTCGTTATTCTCGGGATGGATAACTTGATTTTGAATAATCACGGCAAGCAATAGTTTTTTGTCTCAAACAACGGTATTGTTTACCTCTATCTGATTATCAAATCAAACACAGTGTAGTATGGAACATTTTCCACGTCTTGTTCCACTGACGCGGTATTTGCCATTAGAGCATCTGGTCCATACACAAATATGTCACTGTGGTTGAATTTATATAGAAACTACAATTCGAACATCCTCGAAAATTGAATAAACCTGCTGTTGATGCAGAATATTCTCACCACACGGATTTTGCATTGATTCTGATTTGTTGCATTGCATACATATGGCACGGCATTGGTGATTACTTCACATATTTATTTGAGTTGATTGTTTCGGTTGCAGAAAAAATAGCATGTTTCATTCGGTCAAAAGTGACTTTGTTGGACTCGCTAACTTCGCTTGTCGAACAAAGTGTCACTTTTGATCCTAATGAGGTAGTTTCAATATAAATACAACCACAAAGTGACATATTTGTGTATATACCAAATGCTCTAATGGCAAATACCGCGTCAGTGCCAGGTATAAGAACAAGACGTGGAAAATGTTAGGTTATTATACAAGTATTATTATACATATTATACAATAATAATAGTGATTATTTATTCCTCTCCATACTACACTGTGTTTGACTTGATTATCAAATAGAGGGAAACATTATCATTGTTTGAGATAAAATACTATTGCATGCCGTGATTATTCAAAAACAAGTTATCCATTCCGAGAATAACGAATGAAATACAGATCAAGCAAGTATGTGAATCTTGAAGGCTTCCCTGATCAAAACAAAAAACTTAACTGAGATTTTTGTAATTCCTATACTAAACTATAATAAGGTGTATTTATATCTCCAGCATGGGTATGAAATGCGAAATCTGCCGAAATCGGAAACAAATCAGGCATGCGTCCCAACCCAAATAACCAACCATAACAATGTTGTTTATTCTTGATGACGTCTAGTATATCTCTTTTAGTTCCTAGGAGCTAAAGTTCAACTTAAGCTCCTAGGAACTAAAGTTCAAGTTTAGCTCCTAGGAACTAATTATGTGGCCTAGCAACATACCGATTTTTGTGTCAGTTATAGGAACGTCAATTTGAAAGCTGTTTTTGGTATCAAAATGGACGACTTATGTGTCGGTTGCAGAAAAAATGTATGTAGTACAGTGCACGAACTCACCGTTCTCGTAAGTACGTAATAGGCATAGCAAGCCATGGCGGTGCCATAGGTGACGAAGTAAGTGACCGGCTCCATGATGTCCCAGGAGTATTCCCACCAGGTCAGCCTAGCCAGAATGCCGAATTGGACCGACATCAGACCTAGGCCGGCCCATGCCAGGAAATTGCCACGCCGTTGGGCCACCATTTCCAGTTCCATTTTTTTCTAGAAAGGAAAAGAAATATTGGAAATAAGAAAAATCCATGGACGTATAGACGACTAGGACTTATAGATTAATCTAGAAGTCCAGTTCTATAAGGAAACAGGTGAGCCACTCAGGAGATCGAACTGGTGAAACCACTAGCGTAACTATGGGGGGCCTGGATAAAAAATAAAGTAGACAAATATGAATGTATCAAAATATTTCATCATATATTTTACCATTAAAAATATCAATGACACGCTTCAGTTCGGTGTTAAAGATCGTTAGAGACAGGTTGTAACATTACCTATATTGAAAACTTGAACACAACTCTTTCTATTTTTTGTCATCATAGCCTTTATTACTGTGACAGTACTCAAAGTACAGTGACATAGTGGAAAAAGGACAAAAGCTAAGTTGTGTATAGGAAATTTATTTGGCCTTCTGCCTTCTGTCTATCTGTGGTAGGCAATAATGTGTTGCTTGTTTAGGGAATAAAGAAAATAAATGAAATATCAACAGAGTAAACTCCCAAGGAGTTTTATAAACTTTGTGTGTAGTCAGAGAGTGAATGTAAGTATGGGTAGGAAAATTCTTTGAAGCCATTAAAAATACAATTTAATTGTATACCTTTCGGATGGCGTATTCAAATCCAGAACCGTATTAAGCAGGTGATATTCTTTAAGTTCAAAGAGCTCACCCGATTGTGGATTTATTTCCAATGAAATAATTCATAAATAGGCTATATCCTAGATCACATCATTATAATAGACCATTTCCTTTCTAGCCCCCCCCCCAGCTAGTTACGCCAGTGGGTGAAACTGATTCATGCGCATTTAGGATCTGTCATGTTACACTCATGAATGCGAGGTACATAGGCGTATCGAAGGAAAAAGGTTGGGAGGGGTCTACTATGGAAGGTTGATAAACCATACAAAAAGTAGTGGGAAACGAATGAAATATGCCGTATTCAGGTCTCATAGCTTCCAAATACTCAGATTCGAAAACTTTATTTCAAAAAATGGCAAATTTGCATGTGGTTTCAATGTCCTGGATTTGCCTGATGGAAGCATCAGATATTTCTCTGGCGTAAAATAATTCGAACATAATAATCCTTTTTTTAGTGGATAAGGTCCAATGGTCTCCTAATAGCCACAAATCATTCATTTCTCTCATTCTTATAGGAATGCCAGAATTATTATTGAATGAGTAAACTTTTAATCCAAAATCTTCCTACACGGAAAACGCTATTTGACGACGACGTGTCATTTTGACATCGATAAAAAAGGATGCACCTTTTTAATCGCTCATAAACTGCCTACTCCTTTGATCTAGTAGCTATTTGCGCCTGATGGCATTCCAATTTCTGCCGTGTTTTAGGAAAATTGCAACAGAAGAAACCACGAAAATATGAGAAAATCAATTCCGCAAACTACCAGTTACACGGAATCATCAATAAAGGTAATCATTATTGTTGTTTATTTGTATATTGTCGATGATTCATCTTGCCAAAAAACACTCGAACTTTTTTTTCAATTGGATACATTTCCTTACCAACTCGCAAACATTTTCCATCAGTAATTCCTCTCGAAAAACTGACATTAGACAAAATTTTTCCATGTCAGTTTTTCTCGTAATGTAACTGACTGACGAATGTTTTTCGTTAGAATCCGATAAAAAAAATCTCTTGTGTTTTTATACTGTTGACAAAAAACGTTTCGAAGAAATTTGTTCATTGCGTTTACGCAACAAGCCCTGAAAGAGGACATTTATTCCAATTTGAGGCCGACGCAATAAATTGAATGAGAATGGCAAGCTTCCAAACAATTTTTACCCCATGTTTAAAAACTCATCGCTATTTCAAAACTGGGACAGGCGACCGACAATATTCCAGCAAAAAATGGCGATTACGATGAAATGTGCTTCGTAAAATGTCGCAGAGTGCGGTGACATGGAACCTATGTATGAACTATTATATGTATCTTTAAATGATAGTTCATACAGTTTAACTCGATTTCGGAATCAGGATAGCATTATGTTGTTGCTTAGGACCTATATTGGCGATTATATGAAGGAGGATACAAATTCTCTACTTCAGAAGATTTTATTTTCAAATTCTCATCGTGTGTGTTCAATAGATGTAATTCAATATTCATCGTGTCATATAGCCAGGAAAGTAATTGTTTTCTGTTGAATAAACCGAGAAAGAATTGATATTTTGATCACATGAAGAATGCGAATTCTCAATGTATTTCTTTATATATATATATTATATCCAATTTTTTGTGTTCATAAATATATCTGAGAATGTTCCTTTTCACTCAAAGACTCGCTCAAAGAACACTCAAACAAACCGAATTAGATAAAATCAATCGGTTTGTTTCCATACTAATGTCATATATCTAAACATTTTTCGTGGGAAATCAGAAATATTGATAAAATTGTTAGAACTCGTGATATTATTAACTTCGATAATTTCTATTCTCATACTCTTACATACCCATTTCAATTGAGTATATACGTTACGAGCAAACATTGGCAACGAATGATAAATCATTGAAACAACGCGATTCGATAATACTGCAGCTCGCAACGTGATTGGCGGTGAAAGTTCGAACAATTAAAACGTTAGAACAGAAGATGTAATCTGTAATTGGACAATCATCGTTGAACCTAGCAATTTGCCCATCCACTGTGGTTAATTACATGAAAATCTTTCGGAAGCGACACTGCGGAAAATCAACTCTGATGCGGTACTATACAGGGTAATTTAGTTGAGGTTGCGAATAATCGGGAAAGTTCGTGAAAAACCGTACGCCATGGAATCGGTGTCCTCTGAAATATATCTGTAGTTTCATGAAAAAATATTCAACAACAACAACATTCAACATCAACGATTCTACAGCGTGTCTCATTTCAAACGGCCCTCTATATCTCGGCGATTAGTCGTGCGATTCGTACCAAATTTGGACCAGTATGAATATCCATATCTGAAAATATCCCTTTTCAATAATTTCTTGTTGCTTTTCTTCTCGATAGATATCGAGTTTGTGTATAGGATTCGATGAAGAATTCAAAAAAGAAGTTGACGGTTGTGCAGAGGAATTCATCATCAGAAAAACCGCAACGAGAAATAATAATCTACATAATCTCTGGTAGAAGTCCATGTTTGCTCAAAGTGGAGTGGAATTTTTAAAGGAGGAAGGAAAGCTCAAAGTCATCTCCACAACTTTAATATGAAGTGTTTATTCAACGGGACATGTTTCGAACTTATAAAAGTCCATCTTCAGCCGTATTTAAGAAATTACTAAAAGTAAAGACATGTGAAAATATACAAAATGTTATAAAAATTGTTTTTATGACTTACATGGAGGTGAAACATTGTTTGTTTTAACAATGATGTCGATGTCTCTCATCATAATGTCATTAATGAAGAATAAATAATTTGAGGAATAAACGGGTTTTCATTAAAAATGAAGGGCCCCGTGCCCTGAGAACGCGCACTTAGAATCAAATCACAAGTCAAATCCCAGAAGGGAAACTTGACGAACACACAAGGTGCTCAAAGGGTCCCGTACCCTTGAGAGAGCGCACTTAAAAATCAAAAATCAATTTAGAATTGATGGGGCCAAAAGCCAAAAACGTGTTACATCCAACGTAAGGTTAGAAACACAGAATTAATTGCAAGAACTTGACATAAGTCAAAGTCTTAATAACATGACATTATGACCAGTGACATAGAACACAGAATTAAAGCAAACAATGGGATGAATGTGAATTCCACTAGAGATAGTGCAGTTAACAATACTCAAACAGAAATGACAATGAGAAGATTTGAAAGGGAGGGGGAGGAGGAACATTCCAACAAGATGGTTAGTAGCAAATCTGAAATTAAATGAATGATGATAATTGAAAGAGACCAAAGCAGGTGCCAAACAACATAAAAACTAAATTTGGTTATTGGCAAAATAATCTACATGTCTAAGCGTATTTCCGAAAAATGAACTCCTGAACTTCAAATGAATTGAATAGAGCAAAACGCATCACACAAAGGTTGATTGTTGATTTGGATCTGTTTGAATTATTTCGACAATACAATCAAACCTAATGTCATCAGACAATATGTGCGCAAAGCAATCAATGATCCGAAAATCCACTATAATGTCATTTGTTCAACAGAACTGAAATAATGAACACGTAGATGATTTTCAGTGTATGTGTGCTCGCTGAATTCAAAATTACAAATCAACATTGTTTTGATAGGTAATATACAATAGTATAAAGGGTGTTTCATTAATATTTCAAAAAACTTCGAGGTCATATTTTTTTGGGCAAAATAAGAAAAAAGTTAATAGGAACATATTATGTCCGTTAACGATTCGTTTCCTCGATACAGGGTGTTGAAGCATTGTAGGATTGATGCATGTAATGAAGTTTGAGGGAGCCATTTGCAAGACTTGATATATGAATTGAATATTAGTCATTTAGTTGATGAACGTACCAAATTCACTTTTAATTTATACTGTCACCTTTTATTCATCACTGCTGTTCTTCTCTCCACGGGCTCGACAAGGATAATGAATTTGGTTTCAATTTTATTCCTCAAAAACGAAGCCCGATACGAAAAAAGACGAGAGCCAAAAAAGATGTACTTCAATAAGTTGCTCCAATCAAAAAAATTACAAATATAGGAAAGAAATCTACTGGGTGCTATTTTTTGCAAAAAAGAACTATTGGACTTGCCCCGTGGGCACGCCCCTGGTATTACTTCATCAATTGTTCAAAAAATGATTCATTGAGATTCCAACAGGTATTGTGAATATTATCATTATCGGTTCAAGCATTTTTTAGACTATAGAGAGCTGAAGTAATCACTGTACGTGACGTTAACGTATGGAAAATAACGTTTATGTATTGGCTTTAAATTGAGTTGTAGTATTGTCACTGTCATCGTAACGTAATAATATTAGTACGTAATTGCTTTACAACACGCATTACGTACTATCATATTAGATCTATGGTA